GGGTATGATAAAAGTAGGACCCTTGTTCTGTGATTGTTATGAGGATTAAGTGAGTTGTGATATATTTAAAGAGCTTAGGACAGTAAAAGGTAAATGCTTGTAGGAGAGTAACTATTGTTATATGATGCCATATACTTCAGGGAACTCAGAGAACTCAACTTTGACAATTCCTAACAATACCCAATGGAAACAATTGGTATTTGCGTAAGATCGTTTAATTTTTCATCTCCTGTCGCCACTTCTCCTGTCATACAGTGACCACCTATGAGGCAAAAGGGCTGAATGATTGTCCTCTACCAAACCAAGAATAATTGTAGTACTTACTTAGGGCCAAAAGGCAGGGTGATGGAAAAAGTCACCCTTCTTACTAGCTGTGTGACCTTGGACAAATCACAAACTTTCTGAACTTTAGTATCTCCAGTGTGGCAAATCATAAATAATGTTAGCATTACGTATCTCACAGAGTGGCTGTGAGGACCAAACAAGATTTGTGTAGAAATGTTTTATAAACTATGAGGTAACACAAAAATGTAGGAGATTGTTATTACTAACTATAAACTAAACAGAGGCTAACACTAGTGTTGCTATCAAGAGTGTCAGAAGAAATAAGGACAAATAATCCACAAGTTTCCACAGCAACATTTTACTGGAGGCATATGTTGGCAGGAACTCCAGATTTTCTATTTTTTTTCTTCATATATAAGAAATATATAAAGAAACGTGTGTGCATATATATAAAATATTCGAGAACTCACTTTTTTTGTAAATTCGCAATAGTGTCTTCCATGTTTTCCAGCATTAGGTATGTAAGAATGACCCATGACGTAAGTTGTTTACTAGGTGACAACCTTGATGTTGCAAAGATAGGCTCTTGAGGAAAGATTACCTAAGTGTTAAGAAATGTGATTAATATATCAATTTTGTCCTCTATAGCTGTGGTTCCCAGCCCCTGGTCCTCAGCCTGTTAGGGACCAGGCTCCACCCCCTATAACCACCTCCCCACTTTCATAGATAAATTGTCTTCCATGAAACTTAGGGGGGGGGGCAACCACACAGCAGGAGGTGAGCTGCGGGGGAGTGAGGGAAGCTTCATCTGCATTTACAGCCACTCCTCGTTGCTCGCATCACCGTCTCAGTTCTGTTCCCCCTCCATGGAAAAATTGTCTTCCATGAAACCAGTCCCTGGTGCCAAAAAAAGTTGGGGACCACCACTTTGTAGTCTCTGGCATGAGATTAAGTGTAATTTGGATTTTTTAAAAATAAAACGAGACGAATTAATTTTATTCTTGCTTGCACTATTGCTGCCCTGTTCCCTCAAAGATGTGTTGTCAATAGATGTTAAGTCTATTCAAAGGGAAAAGTATGGATTTGTTTCAGGTTATTCAGCATTTTATATGACTCAGAGTCTATGGTGGGAGAGGGATGGGGGTTATTAAGGAGCTTGCGCCTAAAATTAAGCGTTATTTTATTAAACTAGATGAAACTTTCTCCTGCGTCCTTATTGTAATGAAAATACCTGAATTAGTCAGAATAGACTAAGCTAGGCTGCAGCAACAAATTCACCCTAAAATCTAGTGGTTGAACACAAAGGGTCTATTTCTTCACAGAGTTATTCGGAACCCCAGGCTGACAGACGCTCTGACATCTCTCCACAGTTGCCACGTCAGGGGAAGAAAGAACCTAAAGAACCTTGCTTTGCCCAGAAGTGACTCCATGATTCTATTCATAGTCTGTCGACTAGAACAAGTCTCACGGACTCCCTCCTGGCAAGGGGGCAGGGAAGTGTGAAGGGCACAAGGATATTCAATGAATGCTAATCATCTCTGCGACAATTCCCAGGCCCTTGAAGCAGTAAGAGGCTCTCAGCCATGTTCAAGTACCTTTATCCTCACCCCTTTGCCTCAGGACCCTGCAGTGCAGAGGAAGGAGCTTGGGCTATGGGGCCAGACAGACCTGGGTTTGAATCTCCCCTCTACCTCATGTTAATTGTGTCACTTTAAGCAAGTTGTTTTTGTTTCTCTAATCCTCCATTTTATTCCCTTACCTATAAAATGAAGATTCCAATACTTACCTTTTAAGGGTTCTTGCAGGGATAAGAAATGATTTATGCAAAAACCTTTTAACAAAGAATAATACTTGGTCACCAGAAGGACAAGCAAATATTTAGGGCAGCAATTCTCAGCTCCAGTCCTGTGACACTCCAGGGTATCGCAAATTAACTCAAGGAGTGTTGGAACATTTTCAAAAGGCTCTCCAACTAAGATTACTGTAAATTCCCTTTATTTACTAAAATGAATTCTCTACAGGTCATTAGAAGTAGGATTGATACCAGTGGCACTCTTGGCATTTTATGAGAGAGATGATGTTTTTATTATTCAACCTTTGCCCCTTCTGTGATACTGTCTCCCTTATTCTAGTGTCTCCGGGCTTTGGTTAGGCGTGGGTGTGAATCTCAGCTTAATCACTCTCTATATATTAGTTAAGCATTCTGAGCCCAGGTAACTTCATCTTCAAAGTTGGGACAATCATGACTATTTCATAGGGTTGTTTATAGGGTCAAAGGATGCAGGTAAAGTCCTCAGCACAGTATAACTAACTGTCCTCTGACTTGGTTCCCGATCTCTGGGAGGGAGAAAGCTATGAGTGACAATTACCAGAGCTGTTTTATAAAAATCTCCATGAGACAATGAAAGCTCAAGTCAACACTGGGTTATAACCTATCTGCAGAGAATGGCATATACTGGGGTAACAAGATCCTTCTTCTCCTAGACATTCAGGAGTAAAACAGACAAACAAAACATTTTAAAATCAGGAGAATTACACATAAAAAAGCAGATTTCTGACTTTTCTTAAAGAATCAGAACATCTGTCCCTGATGGTAACTATCAGCCTTCTTTTAGACATGCATATGTTCTCTGTCTGCCACAGTCACTACCACTCCCTATTGTTTTGCTTCTAGCCTGCTTCACTCATTGATTTGCTTGACACCTGTAAGAATTTGAGTTTATAATCCCTGGCCAATAGGTCCAGGATGGTAGCCATGATGGTGGTAAAGACAGGGGTAAATTGGTGGGGAAGGAGGTCTGTAAACTTTTTTTTCAATGATTCAAAAAGCATAATAGCAATGATTATATTGTTAACCTCTCAAAGACTGCACAGGTTAGCTAAAGCACCAGATTTCTTTTCTTTTAGGTGGAATTATATCAACTGGGTAATTGTGTTGTTATAAAAGAAGCTCAGACTACAAGAAGGTACCATGGAGAAATATTTTAAAAATTGGGAAAATAGATGACTATTATTTAATAAATAAAGTTTGTTTGATAGACCAGTTCCTTGAAAAATGGGGCCCAAGATGGAGAAAGAAATAATAATAAGAGCTCTCCTTATTGGTGGAAAGGTTGAGAAGGGAGCCACTGGTTTTGTCATTTCTCCACTGGTGTCTGTAGTCCTAAGGGTCAAAGCCAGAAGAATGAATGTTGGAATTTCAGGTATCTCATAGCAGGTAGAGAAGTGGACTTCCCCTTTAAGTCCTGGAATTTCATGTTCTTTTAAGACAGGATCACTTAAGATTTTAGAGTTAATAAGAGATATAGTTTTTAATATAGGCTCTGTTTTTTTCCAAACTTTGAGGCGAAAAGAAACACAATAACCATTTGTGATATTGCTGTGCTCTGTTAAAACTAATGTTCCTTTACTGTGCTAATGTACAAGGCCACTGTAGTTTATAAGGGTGAAGAAACTCTTTTCTGATGACCTGTCATTCTCCAGGATTGTTATATGTCCCAGAACAAAGCTGATTCATAATTCTACTAGGTGGGGCAAAAGGGTTACATTTTCAGTCTTTCTTGCTAATTCTTTCCAGCATTTAATTAATCTACATGGGAATCTTTTGAGCATCACAGAATTTTCAAGCTAATAGGTGCTTTAATGATCTCCTAATCCAACTTCCTCATTTTCCAGAAGCCCAAAAGACTGGAGAAAAGGACTTGCCCAAGACAACAGAGTCAAGATTGGAACTCAGGGCTTCTGGTTCCAAGTCCAATTTGATATGCAAGTTCTTCCTGTTTCCTTTTCTATTTTAAACTCTCCCAACCCACCATTGCCTGAGATATGTTTTTTTCTTTACAGTCTCATGGCTTCCACTTCATCGTCTAAGCTTTCAGATTTTTCACAATTCTCTTATTTTATCCTTACAGCATTTTCACAGGCTTCCAGATCCTACTTTGAGAAATCTCAAATGAGAGACATGCTATGGAGGATTCCCCACAAAACTGTGCTGACCTCGAAGAAAACAGAGAAATATGTAACCCCACAGTCTTCCGCGGTGTTTCTCTCTCTCTGTCCATTCTGTGCTGAAGTTTCCAAGGAAGCGAGAAGAGCCTAACTCGAGGATTGTGTCTGTTCTTTTTAGAAACAAGTCTGTTGAGATTTCAGACATTCTGCTCATTTCTTCTTTTTTGCTTCTATGTCAATAAAGGGCTTTTTACCACCTGTCTGACAGCGGATCTCTCTTGTGCTGTGGCACATTTAACTACTGCAAAATTAGATTAAAAAATATTTTTTTTCTAAGTTTAGAGGAGGAGCACAGAAGAGATGTCAAAGGTGATTCTGGCCAGTGCTGTCCCTCCCCACAACCCACGTCAGTTGTGTAGGAAAGAGAAGCATAGACTCTTATGGGGATACAAACGAAGACAGAATGGAGGTGGGGAAAGTCAAAGATAAGTTGTATTAATAAAAGAGCTACAATTTAAACTTGGGATAAATGAGAGGAGTACAGGCTGACACATAATTACTACAGATAGGTCTATGCATATAGCTATGTAAAAAGAGGCAAAGGATATTTGTAGTGAACACACTGGCCAGTCCCTGACCCTACTGTTTGACTATTCCTTACCATGTAGAGCTCACAAATTTTGTGACTTTGTCAACTGTGATGAGGTGAGAAAACTAAGGACATATGTTTAGTTTTTTTATAATACCAAATGTATTCCGTTTAAAGGAGTGTCTTATATTTTGAGATTATATCCTTCCATCCTTTTTTTAAATCCTAAAACACTTCTTTTATAAAATGACAGCGAAGGTAGATGATAACTGATAACGTTTTATATGCTTTTTTGGCAACTTAAAAAAATGTATGGCAATAAAATGCAATTCCACCATTTTTTTTTTTGATATTGTACTGATTTATGAGACCCAAAAGTAGAAAAATGCATGCTAAATAGTAAATGATGACCAACCTATTTGGAACAAATCTCAATTAATTCACATATACTTCAGGGAGAAGACTTAACAAAATCTTAATTTTCATTCTTACCAGCTCTCTCCATAAAAATGTTCCATAAGTATATCAACTTAATCATAACAACTACTTGTTAAGTGATTAATGAAACACTTCTTTATAACCTCTGACAATTTGACAAGAGTGAATTTAATAATAGCAGTAAATACAGATGGGACTACATAAATTTAAGACATCCTGATGCAAAACTCTTCCTGTATTTGATGGCATCTCAGCTTTCTCATCTGAAATGAACCAAGACATTAGTTATAGAGATATTATAGCACTCAGAAAAAATTCAAAACAAAATCTATACTCTCTGCCAGAATGCCTCTTGCTCCCATTCACATATGCTGGAAGCAATAGACTGAAGGCAGCTCCAAAGAGAAGGCAGTGTTTAGGATGTATGTGGCTCCTGACCTCATTGTGAAGGAGTATGAAGCAGTGCCGTCCCCCAGGGCAGGCTCTTTCAGTCATTTACACTGTGTGGCAATAAAATGCAGTTGCACAAGCATTAGGCAAACTTGCTTAAGGAGAGAGTAGACTTAGGACCAAAGGTGTTCTCAGTGCTAGGCAGCCTTCCAACCTGTCTTCCTTTAAAGTAGAAGCAGAGATTCCTCCACTTTCTATTCTCTTCGGAACCCCTTCACCTTCTAGCACTTCCCATCTCTGGAAGAGTTTGCCTGGAATGAGTTTTATGATGTACACCGCTGTGACCCATCTGCTTATGGATAATCACTGGCCCCAGCCTAGAGTACTTACAGAGCTGTTCCCCTGTTAGGGTCTTCATGCTTTACGCAGAGCTAAAAGCAAACACAACAAGGGCAATGAGTTTGCCTGCTTTTCTCAGGTCCATGCATAAACATTTTGAATGTATCAAAGTGGCTCAGGGACAGGTGCTATGGAAACATACCCGATTCTGCACTAGCTCAGGGCTCATTTTTTTGGCCATATTAACAGCTTTTATTGAAATTAGAGAAGATCTAACTCTTAATCAGGATGCTTCCAGGATTCTTAGATACCTGGGCATTTCTTTTTTTTTTTTTCTTTTTAGAGACAAGATCTCAATATGTTGCCCAGGCTAGTCTCAAACTCCTAGGCTCAAGGAATCCTCCTGCCTCAGCCTCTTGAGTAGCTGGGAATTCAGGCATGCACCACCACACTGGCATTTTTTTAATATAGGAAAAATTGCTTTGGATTGTAATAGGGAGTAGGGTGAATTTCTTCTTGGGAGACATCGTTGCCCAATTATTATGTGTTTCAAGGAGAATGCCCTTGCTGAATGATGAACTCAGCCTCGGGCATATTGGCCTTTAGTGGAAGGCTTTCTGCCATATTTGCCCTCCTTTGGCACTGGATTAACTGGCGGAGTCAAATGCATGGCATTAATTTGTGCATGCATATACTCTGAATCATGCTAGCCAACGAGGTTAACTATTCAAGGATTCAAAGCCCAGCCCACTGCAGCTGGGGCGTGTGGCTGTGCTCCAGAGGTGAGCAGCTAGTGCCATCTTTTTAATGCAGATCTCTGAATCCAGAGCAGATGTTGCTTTGTCTGTTTATTTATTATAACATAGGTGGCACCATAGCAACAATGAAGGGAAATTTAAAAGGAAAAAATATCAGCCCCAAATCTTCTACCCCTAACACCACAGCTACTTTCATTCAGGCCTTGCCTATGTGCACTTCCATTCTTTGTAAAGTTGTACTCATAATATACATACAGTTTTTATTCCTTGAGCAAGTTTATTTTAGATCTCACAGTAGAAAGGCCAGATTCAACTTTGCCCAAAAGTGGTTCCTAATTCAAGTCACTTATATAGCCACTGTTCTGCCTTTATTTAGATGACTTTTTACCTAAATAGCTTAGAATGCTTAGATACCTTCATTATTCTTTTTCTTCTAGCAATCAGGCCAAAGCACAACGTTAGAAAGACCACAACACATGCAGCAATAATGGGTTCTATTGGTACAGCCACAGCTCTTTCTGTAGGAAATGCAAACACAGGAAATAAGAATGAACATTTATATGTTTCTAATATGTCCCACCAATGATGCTTTGCACTTTACATATAGCATCCTCTTAAATCTTCCCAACTACCCCAAAAAGTTGTCACCATTTTACAAGTGAGGAACTAGGGCTTTGAGATGTTATGTTTATTGTCCAATATCACAGAACTAGTAAGTACAGAGACAGGTTTTGAATCCATTCCCTTATGGAAGAATAATTTATCGTAGTATGAATTCCCCTCCAAAACAAGTAGACCATTTTCTTCACCCACTCCACAATTTTTGTCATACAGAAAGTAGAAGTGGATTGAAGTCAATGGTTTTTCCTGCCTTTTGAAAAGCCCAAAAGACATTGGGAGGTATCCCAGAGAGGGAAAGAGAGGAAGGAAGGCTTTAAGAGCAAGAAGAGAAAAGCGGAGAACCTTCTGGACTAAGAGGGGAGAGAAGTAGAGAAAAATGTATTGGCTCCAAGGTATGAAAAGAACAATTAATCAAAATTAATAAATGTTTACACATCTAGTTAACCTTTTGTTAACGATAACCCAAGTGTTAAATAATGTTTAAACCTCAAGAACAAAATTAATCACTTAATCACAAAATCCAAAATCTATTCCAGTTACAAAAATCCTTTCAAAATGTTTACAGCAAAAAGTATACATAATGTGCTTTGTTCCAATATGTTTGCTACGATATAGGATGGAATGCTTAAAAGTAAAAGTGCTTAAAACAAAGGTGTTTTTTTTTTAAATGACTTTGTCTAAGCCCCTGAATTCTGATGCCACCTAATGAGAAGAAGGGGTTCCAATCATGGTTTAGATAAAATTTTAGGAATTTAAAGGAAATAAAGAGTGTGCTATTGAGTTTATGAATGGAGGTGTGGTCAATGAATATTTACTGAGTAATATTTACTCAGTAATATTTACTGAGTAACCTAGGTGCTGTGTATTAGGTGCTGTGCTCAGCTCTGCAAAAAATAAGACAGACATGGAGCCTCCTCTGCCTTCATTCATATTCTAGTGGGGGAGATAGAGAATTACAGATTGAGATAAGAAGTATGAAGGAAACAGGGCCATGAGATGGCATATGAGGGGTATAAGCCAGAAAGGAGGGGGAAAAGTGACTTTAGACAAATCTAAATTTCAAAGCCTAATCCCTGTATACCTCAAGATTATGAAATAGGGTTTATCCACCCATAACTATATAATACACTAACCAATTACTTTTAAATCATTTTCTCCCCTATGATTTGTCCAGCTCAGGATAATTTTGGGGAGTAAGTTGATCAATCTTCTGCTCTCTCTTGGCTATTCCTAAAAATTATCCTCATGAAGGTCAAACCAGCCCTCTGGAGAAACTTTGCTCAATGGGCCTTTTTCTAGTAAGCCACGAGTCTGTAATATCCAGCTCTGGGACGTACCCAAAGGGCTGTCACCTTCCTGGGGAGCCCCTCCACGTGCATGCCAAGCAAAGATGTCAAAACAAAGGAGAAGTGAAAGTGGGATGATTAGGGAGGAAGAAAGCAGAATTCAGTCACAGGTTGGAATATTTTTACTAAGCCAAATAAAATGAAACTACATGTGACAGCTTTCATTCCCTACACAAGCCGAAAGAAATTGCCTGACCCACTGGCTCGCTTTGGATTCCAAGTTTCTGTTGAAAGAGACTTTGGCAAGTGTAACTACATAACTGTACCTCCTCTCTTGTCCTGTTTTATGCTCTCATTGGTAACCAGACCTGATATTCCACCACCCCCTTTCATTATTGTAAAATAATTCCAACACGTGTGCTAAATCTTGTGCTCAAGAAAAGATCCGTGATGTCATTTCCAGCTTTGCATGGCCGCATTTAGGAACTAGCCCACTGAGCAGTGAAGTCAGGAGAGGCTCGTGAAAAACTCAGCATTTAGCCTGAGCACCAGCAGCAGAGAGCTTATGTTACAAAGGCAGCCAACAGCCAGAGAAGTAACAAAGCAAGAAGAAATAAGAAAAACAAGTTGGTTTGGAAGAGCTCCACCCAAAACAAGTTTCTGCCCACCTGAAAGCCAATTTACCAGACAAGCTGATTGCCACACAAGCTATATTGGGTTTTTTTTTTTTTGTTGTTTTTTTTTTTAATGTGACATGGAGCAATTACGATGTCTTCTTAACCAAGAGGGATGATACAATTCCCTATTCTCCAAGTGTGGTCTTCACAACCAGTTAGTACAGCGGTGTGGCGTGAGGCCTATCCTACCATGCTTTTGTAGTCTTGGGAGAGGTGAATAGCCACAAACTATGGGTACTTAGGATATTTGTGGGTTTGGTTTTCAAAGCAAGCAGCCCCCGGGCATACTGTTAACTGCTCTGCAGGACAAATTATTGAACATGCCAGGAATCACAATGATGGGCATTCAACCATTAGCAGCTCTGCCTCCCCACCAGCTAATCTGCTCATATTCCAAATCCCCCCACCCCGGGGGGAGGAAATAAGATGTCTTATGTTATGATTACGTCAATCCAACATTTCTGGCAGGGGTTCAGTTGGCTGCCTTGGGCCTGGCAAGAATGGCAATGAAAACATACAGGGAGGCAAATGACAAAGTGAATAGTGTTCTAACAAGATAGAGGAGCCTCAGCTTGCTGGGCTGATCCTCGAATACTGGCCCCAGACCAGAAAATGTGTGCACGTGAGCATTTTTAGCATCTGCTACACCAGGTATCTCGCCTTTCTCTTTTTGTCTGAGCAAGAAATATGAGGAAGGAAAAGCACTCAGAGCTTCATTTGTTCTCTGTTACTGCAGAGATGATGTAGTTACCGGGTAGATAAAGCCTGAAGCCAAGAGAAAAAGCTTTTTTTTTTTTTTCTTTCCCCCTTACTCTCTGTTCTGATAAGCCTACAGAGTTTGAGTTAGGAGTGATTTTAGAGATCTATTTTCTTATCTAACCAGCATTTTTCTCCTTTGTGTTTTTTGTTTTTCACTTCTCTTCTGTTCGTCAGTAAGACTGTGAACTTAGAAGTCCAGTTCCTACACACCATGTTGTCCAGAATTCATGGAAATATTCCTCCCTAAAAGCCAACCAGAACGGTTTCCTACACTTGGTTCTAGAAAAGGATCTTTGCTCAAAAAGCAGTGCCCTATATGGAATGGGCACAATCCCCCTAAAAGATAGACTAGAATTCTTAGTGGAAAATTCCTTGGCTGGGAATAATTCTTCAAAGAAAATCCTAGCCATTAATCATAATTGTCATCATTTGTTGTCACCAATGATATCTAGTCTGAGTTTTGCACCATGCTGGATATTACTTAAAAAGAGAGTTACCTTCAACAATCAGGTGGAAGTCCTTGGTTTCCATTTTCAGAGATGAATTTGCAATACAGCTATAGGTTCCATTGTCAGATTTCCTGACTTTGGTAATTGACAGCTGAAAAGATTCACTTGTCTGTTGGATTTGGTGATAGTTTTTCTCTAAATTCAGGACATTACCGTCTTTGTACCACATCATTTGAGCCTGAGGATTGGATTTCACATTGCAAACCAAGTTCACGCTATTGCCTTCTGAAACTGTTTGGAAGTCGTTTCCACTTAGGAGAGGAGGAACTGCAAGACCCAAGCGTTTAGATTTAATTAGCAGATAAGCCATGGTTTGCTGTCAGTGTTCAAGGTCTTCCTTCAGTCTATCTTTTGTAGGCATTTATGTATTTGATACAAATTTTTGAGTACCCACAATGTGCCAATCACTGGGCTAGGGGATATAATACTATTAATAAACAACATACCCAGTTCCAAACCTCATAGAACTTTTAATGTGGTGAAGACAAACGATGAAACAATATATGATTGTGAACATAAGATGATAATGAATCTGTACTAAGTAGACAATTTGTAACACTACCCAGGAGTATAAGCCTTGGGTCTTTGTTCTCTGAGAGTTAATAAACCAACCTGTGCTAGTGTTGGATAAAACAGTACAATGTTAAGAAGGCAGGCATTGAAGTGAGTCCTAATTGCATCTACACCACCTGGAGACAGTTACTTAACTGCCAGGGCCTCAGTTTTCTCATCTAAAAAATGGGATAATACTACCTACCTCATGTGTTGCTGTAAAAATTAAATTAGATGATCCCTGCAAAGAATTTACTATAGTGCTAGCTACTGTTATTATTATTATTGTGGTGGTGGTGGTTTTGAGGGCTACTCAGATCTTCTATTTTTGTACTTTATCTAACCAATGTCCTGGCCATATATTTACCAATGAATCTTTGTGTCTCTTCAGTGATCCTCTGGAAACAATGTCCTTTTCCCAGAAGGTGCTCCAATCATGACAAGTCTGGCATCTATGGAAGTTGGGTGAGTCCCTCTCATCCCTTCATGTAAACAACTCCTTATTCCCTCTACAATAAGCGCGGTTACAGACCCATGGACAAACACATTTATCTCCATGCCTCTTGCATTTTCTAGCAAAGATGCAGGAGAGTAACAAAATGATTGAAGAGTGGGAACTAGGAAAATGGTAGAGGCCGAGAAGGAGGAAAAAAGGAGCTTGTATTATTGCACACTGAATAATTAGACCCTGAGTAGGCTGTGCTATTAATAACTCTCTCAGAAGAATGACATTTTGTTGCTCTTTGGAATGAGCTTGCATTCTGTATCATATCCAACAAGGATGTTATATGGTATTCAGAGATGTAGGAAGTTGCTGGAATAGAGAACGTAATTGCCAAGTAGAACAATTCCATATGGAACCAGATCCTGTTAATTATTTCTTTTTATTTAAGTATTTAAAATTAATTTAAGCATATCAGCTACATATGAATACCCTCTCTTTAAAAATTAGGACATTTCTGATAAAGCTAAGGTCCTCTTTGACTCCAAGCTGGTCACTTCCTGGTTTCCCAGAGATACCCATTGCTGAGTTTTGTATAAATCCTTCATAATTTTTTTTAAAAGAAAGTTTTCTATACATATAGTGTTTCCATAGGGGATATATTGTATTGTTTTAGCAGCATGGGAAGGATTTACATAAAAGACTTCATTTTTCTCAATAACCTGCATGTTTTTGAGATATATCCATATCGAACCATAGAGATCTAGCTCATTGCTTGCAGAGTGCCGTAGTATAATATATGGTTCTTTAATATTTTATATATATCTATATATATATTTTTTTGAGACAGAGTCTTGCTTTGTTGCCCAGGCTAGAGTGAGTATCCTGGCGTCAGCCTAGCTCACAGCAACCTCAAACTCCTGGGCTCAAGCAATCCTGCTGCCTCAGCCTCCCAAGTAGCTGAGACTACAGGCATGCGCCACCATGCCCAGCTAATTTTTTCTATATATATTAGTTGGCCAATTAATTTCTTTCTATTTATAGTAGACGACGGGTCCGCTTGCTCAGGCTGGTTTCGAACTCCTGACCTCGAGCAATCCACCCACCTCGGCCTCCCAGAGTGCATTAAATTTTGATAGATATTCCAAAAGAGGTGGTCTCGATTTATGCTTTGGGCGACAACGGATGAGAGAACCTGTTTCTCCACATTCCCCTGACACAGTGTATTCTCAAGCTTCCATTTAGTTCTTGATCTGCTATTTATAACAATAATAACACTGCCTTTGGATTGTACATAATATCTTTGTCACTTTTTATGAGCTCACTTTGATTTATTATAAATAGTTGATGAGCTTGAGTCAGTTATTGTCACTATGAATCACCAATTGGCCATATGTATATTACTATAGATATATATAGGTTGGTGCAAAAGTAATTGTGGTTTTAGCATTGTTGAAATTTGCCATTTGATATTGGGAATACATTCTTAAATGTGGTTTGTTATACATCATTTTAATGTGCATTTCTCACTTTATGTTTTTTTGCTAATGACATTACTTGCTGTTTATTTTTATTTTATTTTTTAATTGTTTTACTTTTTGTCCCTTAGACTCTTCTAGTTGAGAACTTGCTGTTTATTTTATATATATACGTATATATGACTATAGAGATGATGTCAGAGAAAATTGGAGCAATTTTCTTATTCAAGTTCAAAATGGGTCGTAAAACAGCAGAGACAACTCGCAACATCAACAATGCATTTGACCCAGGAACTGCTAACGAACATACAGTTGACCCAGGAACTGCTAACGAATGTACAGTTGACCCAGGAACTGCTAACAAACGTACAGTTGACCCAGGAACTGCTAACGAATGTACAGTGCAGTGGTGGTTCAAGACATTTTGCAAAGGAGAAGAGAGCCTTGAAGACGAGGAGCACAGTGGCTGGCCATTGGAAGTTGACAACGACCAATTGAGAGCAATCATTGAAACTGATCCTCTTACCACTACATGAGAAGTTGCTGAAGAACTCAACATTGACCATTCTATGGTCGTGCAGCATTTGAAGCAAATTGGAAATGTGAAAAAGCTCAATAAGTAGGTGCCTCATGAGCTGACTGAAAATAAAAAAAAATCATTGAAGTGTCCTCTTATAGTACGCAACAACAACAAATCATTTCTTGATCGAATTGTGATGTGCAACGAAAAGTGGATTGTATACGGCAAGCAGTGATGACGAGCTCAGTGGTTGGACCGAGAAGAAGCTCCAAAGCACTTCCCAAACCCAAACTTGAACCCAATAGAGGTCATGGTCATTATTTGGTGGTCTGCTGCCAGTCTGATCCACTACAGCTTTCTGAATCCCAGCGAAACCGTTACATCTGAGAAGTATGCTCAGCACGAAGACGCACAACCAACGCTTCAAAAGTTGAACAAATTGTGTTACGAAGTTTTGCCTCATCCACCATATTCACCTGACCTCTTGCCAACGGACTACCACTTCTTCAAGCATCTTGAAACTTTTTGCAGGGAAAATGCTTCCACAACCAGCAGGATGTAGAAAATGCTTTCCCAGAGTTCGTTGAATCCTGAAGCACAGATTTTTTTAGACTCCAGGAATAAACAAACTTATTTCTTGTTGGCAAAAATGCGTTGATTGTAATGGTTCCTATTATGACTAATGAAGATGTGTTTAAGCCTAGTTATAATGATTTAAAATTCATGGTCTAAAACCACAATTACTTTTGTACCAACCTTAACACACACACACACACACACACACACACACGTGCTTAGCAACAATGATATTTCAGAGGTTGTTATAAAGATGATTTTTAAAGTGGACTCAGGCTGGAAAACTGAAAACAATTTCTTTAAGTCACCAAATCACATTGTCAGCATTTCTGCCAGGTCTCCCTTAAGAAGGTTCCATGGAAAGAAAACTAGATTAGAAGCCTGGGCTTTTGCTAGAGGAATAAAGAAGCTCTGAGTTCTAGCATGTGGTGACAGCATCCTCAATAAAGATTTAGCTTCACTGGCTTTTCCATCTATTTTGGTTCTGTACCTCATGTTTAAAAGGGTAAGCTGGCTGGACATGGTGGCTCACACCTGTAATCCCAGCACTTTGGGAGGCTGAGGTGGGAGGATCACTTGAGGCTAGGAGTTTAAACCCAGCCCGGGCAACATAGCAAGACCTCATCTCCACACAAAATTTAAAAAATTAGCCAGGAATGGTGGTGCACGGCTGGAGTCTCAGCTACTTGGGAGGCTGAGGTGGGAAGATCGCTTCAGCCCAGGAGTTCAAGGTTGCAGTGAGCTATGATTGCATCGCTGCACTAGCCTGGGCAACAGAGTGAGACCCTGTCTCTAAAGATAGACACATAGATAGATAGATAGATGATAGATAGATAGATCAATAAAGCAAGCAAGTCTGGGGATTTGTGTTTTGGTCACAGGTCCAGCTGTGATTTGAGCCCCTAGTCTGGGCCTCCGTTTCCTCATCTGTCATTTTATAAGGGTGGATTTACGAAACCTCCAAGGTATTTTGATAGTCATGGATTCTATCAGAGTAGCCAGGAGGTAGCTTACTAATAATCAGTTTTGATCAGTTGGTTGCAATTTTTTAAAAAAAAGCTTCTTTGCTGAGGAACATGCAAATGATTCACTCTAGAAACTAAAGCTGCAGGATGCCAGCATTTTCCAGAGTTGGGTTCCTCAGCATTTTCTTCATCCTTGTATCTCAGGAGCAATGACATCAATTTTTCACAAAAAAAAAAAAAAAAAGTTGACTGAGCTCATTGGGATCCAATGGCTTTGACTTTTATTACTAGGTTCCAAGTAAAAAGTTCTTTCTACCAAATCATACCACATAATCATCCTACACCACATCATCTCTCACCATATCACCCACACCTCTCTCATGCAGAACCAGGCTTCCACCCAAACAACCCTCATGATCACCTACATAGCATCATTCAATGGTCCCCTAACCCTATATAGTTCCACCAATGGGTTACCAATACCTGGAACCCAACCACGGAAGAGCTTCACCTTTTTGGATTTCAACATGATGTTAAAAGATCCCCAATGAAAATCTTTCTGAGCAGAACACAAAGCTAGATACCATAAAGGAAAAGATTTAAAGTTTCAATATGAATAATAACTTAAAAATTTCACAAATAAATAGGAGAAACACTTACAAGCCAAAATTACAAAGGATTAATTTTCTTAGTTTACAAAGCCCTCATATGGATTAATGAGAAAAAGGCAAATAACTCAATAGAAAAATGGGTAAAAGACACAGACATTTCACACAACAAACTCCACATGAATAGCCAATACCTTTATGAAAAGGTGAACACCCTCATTCTTAATTTAAAAAATGAAAATAAAATTTCAAATGAGGCTGGCAAATTCTTAAGAGTTTGAGGATACTCAGTGCTCGTGAGGTTTCTTTCTTTCTTTTGGAGACAGAGTCTCGTTCTGTTGCCCTGGCTAGAGTGCAGTGGCATAATCATATCTCACTGCAACCTCAAACTCCTGGGCTCAAGCAATCCTCCTGCCTCAGCCTCCCAAGTAGCTGGGACTACAGCCATGCACCACCATGCCCGGCTAATTTTTGTACTTTTTGTAGAGATGGGGTCTCACTCTTGCCCAGACTGGTCTCGAACTCCTGAGTTCAGGCAATCCTCCCGACTTGGCCTCCCAGAGTGCTAGGATTACATGCATGAGCCACCATGCCTGGTCAAGACCTAGTTTTTAACTATCTCTTAATGTAATGCAGACATTACAGACTGACTAGAAGTTTCCTTTCCCCTTACTCACATATAACATTCAGCATCACTGAAATGGACACGGTCTCATCCCTCTGCAGCCTGCAGGTAAAGTTGACTCCGTTGTCATTTTCACTGATGGAAGAGACACAGACAGAGCTGGAGTTGATTTTGTTTCCAGATTTCAAATCCACTCTCCCTGCTCCTCGGTACCAGAGAAGTTCTTCCTCTCCGGTATGGTTTTGAACAGCACATTTCAGAGATTCTTGGAAGCCACGCTGAGTGTCCAGGATATAGTTCTCAGTTTTACCATTCACAGTTAAAACAGAACCTGGGAGTATAAGGAGAAACTATTAAGATACGCAGCGTAAACAACCTAGATGTTCACCAACAGGGGATTGGTTAAATAAGTTATGTTATATCAGTATAACAATATATACTCTCAACAATTAAAAATAGTCACGTTGATCTATATGATTTTATGAAGAAAAAGAAAAAGTTTAGTTTAGAAAAAGTTTAGTTTGTTTAGTTAATAATGTGTTATTAACTAAACAAAGAAAAAGGTTAAAATGGTGGTCATCAAAGTTTGCTGCAATTGAAATTACCTGGGGATCTTTTAAAAAGTACTCATGCCTGGCTCTCATCCCCAGACATTTGGTTAATTGATGTGAGTGCAATCTGGGAAGTGGGTTTTTTAAAAGCCCCCAGGTATTTCTAATGTGCCATGATGCTTGAGAACCACTGGATTAGAAACCAGTATGTACAGATGATTTTATATATATGTAGATTTTTTTTTCATGGAGGAAAGACTTAGGAAAAAACTCTATATCTATTGAATAAATATACACATACCAGATTTAATTTGTTCCCTTCAAAGAGTTGGAAGTAGAAAAACTAGGAAGTGGAAATGGAGAAATAAAAAGAAAGGACTATAGCAAAATAGAAATATATTTAAGATATAACATTAGGTGAAAAGGCAAAATATAAATTAAATCTCTGATTATGACTATAAACATACCAAAATTGAATATGCATATGAGAAAAAACTGATTTAAAAACGTTTTTCCGATTAGAAGATAGGATTATGGACAAATTCGCTCTTATATTTCTGATGTCTTAATAGTGTTTTGCCAGCATAGCAAAATAAAAAGATGTTTAAATAACTGGTGTTTGTTGGGTAGACAAGTTTTTGTGGGGTAGGTAGTAGGATATATACCAGTTGTTTTTTCAGCTCTGATTTTTAGAAATCCATTTACTGCATAGTGATATACCTAATATTCAATTTTTATTTTCCTGGTTCAGAAGCAAGTAACAAAAACTAAAAAGGAACTTTAGCTGCCACAAATCTGCACCCTAGGTAACATTTGTTATTAACTTTTCTTTCAAAAAGCCACTGGTAAAGATAATGGGATTGTTGCTTAACATTTTTTTAAAAATCTGGAAGAATATACACCAAAATATTGAGTGGTGATCTCTGGATAACAGGCCTTGGTGAGATTTTTTGCTTTTCTTTCTTCTTTTATACATTGTCTAATTTATTTTACAATGACTATGTATTACCGTTAAAACCAGGGAAGGGGACAGGGAATTACTTCCAGGTGGAGGTGGGGAGAAATTGCAGGAAAGATTTTCATGTAAGTAGTATGTTTAAATAAACAGAAGATTATTTGGGGTAAGATTAGTAATGAAATGCATTAAAATGTAGGAAAATTCTGGCTGTGGCTCTGGAGAGAATAGAATACTTCACCTTGTCTTGTAATATCTGAACTCTAAAAACAATATTTTTCCATTTGATTTTTTATTATGTTATGTGACTCCTATACTGTGAGCCATACCAACTGTATAGTCATTCCAATATGAAATTTAAAGATATATGCAATGCTCATTGATCTTTTTTTAATCTGAAATTTTTCTTTATCTAAAAAGAGGCCAGAAAGAATATTAACTTACTTGTCATCCCATGTGGCAGAAATAAAATTACTAAAAGAAGAAATTGACATATTTGCATTGTACCGCTGCTCTTCCATGCCATCTTTAAAGAGTTCATGTCAAACCTACCGAGTGAAAAAGAGTCCAGTTGGTTTTGTACTTTGGTCTACAATGAGTTTATGAACCTTCTTCCTGTCTATTTGGCATTTAAAATAAATTCCCAGATGAATCATCCCAGCTAAAACGGAATACTTCTAGTTTTTAATTAAACAAACCTGTTCTAAGTTCAAAGTACTTTTAGTATTAAGGAATTTTTTTTAAGGCAACAAGAAGAAAACCACAGGGAAATAGGCTAAACTATATAGGGCTTTAGGGTGCCTGGGGGATGATAAGACTAGTCTTTCCTAGAGAAACTGATAGAATATCATTTTAACAGAAAAAGAGATGGAACTTGTTTCATTCTCAAATGGTCCCTACTGAACAAAGGTTCAGTTTTAAAAGCCTTTACTGGGTCTTTATTATTATTTTTTTTTGTAGAAATGAGTCTTGCTCTGTTGTGCTGCATAGAGTACAGTGGCATCATCAGAGCTCACAGCAACCTCAAACTCCTAGGCACAAGTGATCCTCCTGCCTCAGCCTTCCAAGTAGCTGGGACTACAGGTATCCACCACCACATCCGGCTAATTTCCCCCCCTTTTTTTTTTGTAGAGATAGGGTCTTGCTGTGTTGCCCAAGCTGGTCTTCAACTCCTGGACTCAAGTGATCCTCCCACCTTGGCCTCCCAAAATGCTGGGATTATAGGCATGAGCCGCCACACCCACCCCATTGGGTCATTACTGTAATGTTGTTTTCTGATAGAGAGTTTTTGAGACTATTCCGAATCCCATCTATCCAGATGGTGTGGACCTAGAAAAGATTCAATTGACACATGGCCTCTAGTTTTAAACCAGGTTGACTTCTGCTTTCCCCACCCCTCATCTACTCTCCCCTCCTAATACTCCTTCCACTTGACCCAGTATAGACTAAAAATAATAAATAAATAATAAAGGCCTCTTTTTTCCCCTTCTTCTGTGCTTTTGCTTCTACCATCCCTCTCCCCAGAATAGTCTACACTTCCATCTGGGAAAAACATATATTCATTATTTCCTTTCATGAGGAGCGTTATGAATAGAGCAGAAACACATATGGAATGCTTTCCAATGCAACCAGCGCTATGCTTAACATGTTACAAACATTATTTCAACCACAAGCCCCACAACAACCCTCTTGAGGTAGTTTCTATAGATTTAGAGAGATTACATAATTTGCCCAAGATCCCAGAAACAGTAAATGGCAGGGTCAGGATTTGAACACAGGACTCCCAAGACCATTCTCATGACCACCCTACTGCCTGGATTAATATTCTCTTCCTTTAAGAGGCGACTGTTAGTCTCTTTCGGTCCCTGGCCATTCTATAGACCTTAGCCACTTAGCCCTTAACGCCAGTATTAATTTGGAATAGCCGGAACACACCTATGCCTTCTTTGAGCCTGCTCTACTCCTTCCCTGTCCCAGACCTGTCCTGGCAGGAGCCGGGGTCATTCCTACCAGGCTCACCCTTCCTGGCAGGCAAAGCCTACAGCAATCTTTTAATAACATGCAATTGGTACTAATAATGATTCTTTTGTAATTTTAAATTTTTGCCAGAAAGATTTCTATCACAGTGTTGTAACAGTGATGATTTCAGAATTTATCATTAATAGAGTTCTCTCAAGCATTTTCCACTATAGGTACTCGTTAAAAACTGGGAGTGTGGGCTTCTTGGCAGACCTCACCTCACCCTATTAAGGGGGAGAACTGATGTCTTCTCTTTCCTTCCACACCACCAAGAGAGCAACTTTTCAAAATGAATTTCCCTCATTTGAGTTGTTTTTAATTTTTCTATCTCTTTCTATACAAGACAGTTTTATCACTTACCTGCTGAGCTCCGAAAAGGTGACTTCCTTGGCCAACCATTCCTCTGTCTGGAAACCCTGAAACCTTTCCCTGTTACTGTCCTTTATAATAACTTGAATTTGAACACTTTATGACAGTAGGGTCAAGTAAATAAGATAAATTGGGATCAAAGTCTGTTTCTCTTTATGGATTCTTAGAGAAGACAGCAATTGGGAAAGACATCTTCTTAAGATCTAAGTTTTTATGTGTACCTAGGTTACTAGGTGGGGCCAGATAATTGCTAAGAGGGAAGTATTGTTCCCAGAAAGCCAGAAATTGTGCACAAATTTGTAGAACATCTCACTAAACATTACCGTACTCAGTGTAATGTGTTTTGATAATCTAGTAGCCTGGGGACTGTGACAGGACAAAACCAAGGAGAGGTTTGACTTTTACAGCAGTCAAAACATTGGAAGATTCCACACAACCTAAAAAATGCCAGAAATGCATTTTTCCCACTAGTAACCCAAGCCCAGTGTGCAAACTGTACCAAGCCAGGCATGATAGTGGACAGTTTTATCCACTTGAGGCTCTCACCTGATTGGAGAATCCTTGCATTACACTGTGTTTATGATATTGTTGACAATGCAGATGTCAGCTGCCAAGTACTATTGTTCCCATTTATACAAAAATACAATAGAGTATTATTTACGGTTATCCACCCATTGGTTAAGCACGCCAGAGATCTGCCTCTGACTGTGTGTGACTCTGAAAAGTTATTTAACCACTATGAACCTCAGGTTCTATGGAAATAATAATAGTACCCTCCCTACAGAGTCACCGTGAGGATTAAATGAAATGAGGGACGCAGAGCTGCCACACAGTAAGCCCTTAGTTAAGCAGTAGCTCTTATTACAGTTATTATTGATATGGGCTGGGCAGGGCATCCTAAATAAACACAGCCTCACTACAGCATTGTTAACGTAAGAATCATAACTAAGAGCAGCTCCTGCCGGCTGAGTTGCAAGCACCACCTAAGCAGGTTGTAAGTTTGCTTCTCTATGGACTCAAGAGCAATGCATTTTACTATTAATATTACCATTTTTTTTTGAGTGCCGTGGCGTCAGCCTAGCTCACAGCAACCTCAAACTCCTGGGCTCAAGCAATCCTACTGCCTCAGCCTCCCGAGTAGCTGGGACTACAGGCATGTGCCACCACACCCGGCTAACTTTTTTTTCTATTTATATTAGTTGGCCAATTAATTTCTTTCTATTTTTAGTAGAGACGGGGTCTCGCTCTTGCTCAGGCTGGTTTCGAACTCCTGACCTCAAGCAATCCGCCCGCCTCGGCCTTCCAGAGAGCTAGGATTACAGGCGTGAGCCACCGTGCCCGGCAATATTACCATTTTTTTTTTTAATTATTTTTTTTATTTTGGCATATTATGGGGATACAGATTTTAAGGTTTCAATAAATGCCCATTTCCCCCCTCCCCCAATATTACCATTTTTAAATGGTTTTAAATGATGTCTTGGTTCTGGGTCCCTCTAAAGCGGACCCTGAGACAAAGCTTTGGGTGCAAGTAGTTTATCTAAAGGTAATCTCAGGAAGCACAGTAAGGAAGTAAGAGAGGGAAGAGAGGAAAACTAACAAAGAATGTGTTCATGTGGGCAACTGTGGATCCTTTGACAAGGGTATGTTCTTTGGAACACCCCTCAGAATCAACTCATGAAGGGGAAGGAAGCTTGGATATTTATCCACCAACTTCTCTCCATCATCCACTGAGGGACACTCTTCAAATGTTGGCTCTCTAGCACCTCCAGCCTGCCCTGTTCATCGTGGACTCTTTCAAGCTGACCAAGAATGTCCAGGCAAAGACACCAGGAAGTCATCTGTTATTTGGGAACTCTTTGTAGGTAACTTCTAGGTAGGCCAAGAAGATGTGGGTAGGGCACCAACAGCCACTTCTACAATTGGCCATTAGGTAATATTAGGAAATAATGGTTAATTATTTTTAGGTGTGATAATGGTGTTGCACTTATGTAGAAAATGTCCTCATTGTCAGGAGATGCCTGTTGAAATATTTATGGATCAAGTGTCACGATGATTGCAACTAACTCTCAAATGAGTCAGCAAAAATAAATAAACACATAGCAAATAGTGAACGTTAACATTTCCTAAATCTAGATAGGGGGTATATAGATCTTCATTGTACTATTTTTTCAACTTCTCTGTATGTTTGACATTTTATCTGACAAAAATGTTTGGAAATGTATTTAGCAGATATTCATTGAGAACTTACTATGTGCCAAGTATTCTGAGTATCAAGGATGCCAGTCCCATTCAAGCCAACACGGTGGCTTTGTCATGAAGTAGGAAAAGATGGCTTCTCAAATCACTCTACTGCCACCTGTGGAAAATTACTGTAATAATTTTACAAAGCTATGATGTCTGTAAGATGCATGGTGCTCCTTGATCTCCACAACAGTAGGTGGGTACCCTGGGAGACCCGTAGATGAGTAACTCATGCTCTAGGCCTTCAACGGTCTTACATTCTAGAGAAGAAAGTTCATGCTGGTCCATGGCCACCTAGTGTGCCCTTGGTCCTGAGGTGGGATTTCAGAGAAGAAAAATGGTATCATGGCGCCTCTTCTGGAGAATCAAAGAAGTGATGTGACTTGTCTAAGGTCACATAAATCCCTGGGACATTCCTGTTTCCTAAAACTGACAGAAAAAATCATTTTTCCATAAGTAGTTAAGCCTCCTAGTCAACTATTAAGTTGAAGTAGTTTGACTGAAGTATTAATAGAATTTAATACTCCACAGTTTCTGTAAGTAGCTTAGACTCAGAGGGAGAGAAGAAAGGTAGCCTTGAGTCCGAAAATTCCTGGGAGCAGAGACCAATCTGCTTTGCATTCCCCAGGCCCAGGCAGGTCTGGAAAGACTACAGAAAAGAGAGTCCAGGAACTGGCGGCCATGACAGTGAGTATGACAATCACCTGGGGACTCTCCTCCATCAGTTCTGACGGGACTCGGGACTCTCACCTTTAACAAGCCTCCCAGGGGACTCTTGCGCGGTGGTTTGTGAATCTTACTTTGAGAACGAAAGCCCGTGTGACTAGGCATTGACCAGGGTGAAGGCCAAAGCCCCTCAGCTAAGGGGAGGTGTCCAGCACAGGGCATGGTGGACTCTCAAGATGAAAGGAAGGAAGAAGGAAGAAGGAAAGGAAAGGAAAGGAAAGGAAAGGAAAGGAAAGGAAAGGAAAGGAAAGGAAAGGAAAGGAAAGGAAAGGAAAGGAAAGGAAAGGAAAGGAGGAAAGGAAAGGAAAGGAAAGGAAAGGAAAGGAAAGGAAAGGAAAGGAAAGGAAAGGAAAGGAAAGGAAAGGAAAGGAAAGGAAAGGAAAAAGGAGAGACAGGCAAGCAGGATGCCCGCTTGGAGACAAATTAGAGGTTCAAGCTCGGTGGTCCACCCCAGAAGGGGCTGTGTGCATGGGGCTGGCCTGTGGGAGCCTGGCAGTGCCAGCGCGCAGGCCTCACAGTACTTTCTATTGTATGAGAGTGAAGAAGAGGAGGGAGACAGGAGCAACAGAATGTAGAAAGCCTGAGGGTCGGTGCAGTGACTGCTGGGCACCACCATCCCACAGCCTCAATGTGCCGTGACCAAACTTGATGTGACAAAGACAGCAACTCAGGAAATGGTTAGAAGGTCACAGCCCAGCAAGGTGATTTGCCCAGGTCACTGGCAATGCCACTGAAAGTTTTAGAGTGACAGAAAAGCTAGAAATCCGGCAGTCAGAGCCTAGCAAGGAGAGAGTGGGTCTTTGACCTATGTGGGGACCTGGCGTGTTGCTTTTCCCACCCAGAATCCAACACGGCATCCACTAAACTGCTTAGAATTGTCTTGACCTTTAGAGTTTCCAGCTCAAACAGCCATCAGTGGTCCTCTAACTTCTCATCCCCCACTATCAGGATTCCTCCATCACCAAAAATCTTAGACCTTAAATCAAGACCCAAAAGCCTACCTGCCCAGCGTGACTAGATTTGGCAAATAAAAATACAGGACACTCAGTTAAATTGGAATTTCAGGTAAATAATGCCTTTTTAGTATAATATGTCCTATGCAATATTATGTGCTAATTCATGATAAGCCAATATTTTAATACTTATACTTAAAAAATCATTGTTTCTCTGGAATTCACATTTGACTAAGTTTCCTGTCTTTTATCTAGCAACTCTACATATGTCTAATCCTCCCTTTTTAAATAGGTGAGGAAGCTGGGCACGGTGATTCACACCTGTAATCCTGGCACTCTGGGAGGCTGAGGTGGAAGGATCGCTTGAGGTCAGGAGTTCAAGACCAGCCTGAGCAACATAGTGAGACCCCCATCTCTACATAAACAATTTAAAAATTATCCAGGGTGTTGGTGCACAACTGTACTTCTAGCTACTTGGAAGGCTGAGGCAGGAACGTTGCTTGATCCCAGGAGTTTGAGGTTGCAGTGAGCTACGATGATGCCGCTGTACTCCAGCCTGGGTAATAGAGCAAGACCTTGTCTCAAAAAATAAAAAAAATAGGTGAGGAAATGAAGTTCAGAGAGATAAAGGGACTTGTCCAAAGTAACAAAACTATTTAGCAGCAGATTCAGGATCAGAATTCATTCGAGATTCCTGGCTGCCATACTCCATCCTTTTCCAAATGTTTGATTTCAGAGTTTCTTAATTTGACTTCTTGAATCACTATGGAGGAGTTTTAGAGTGTCACTGAAACAGCTGAAATTATAGGCAAAATGTGTGTGTGTGTGTGTGTGTGTGTGTGTACATATGTGTATTTTTCTGGGGAGATGGTCTCCTATCTTAGCCTGAGTGGACTAAGACATCATCCTATGCTCCACAACCTACCTATATCAAAAACAAAACTTCCTCTAATTTATCCTATAGTCTCCTTCCTTCTTTGTCCTCCATGCATTTTTTATTTGAAAGGAGGAGAAATGGGTACTAGGTAACTTTTACCAAGTACCTATTATGTGCTGAGCCATTTACACATGTTCTTTGTGGGTTTTTTGTCTTCCGAGATAGGAGGTTTCCATATGGTGCCCAGGCTG